TCATAGAAATGCACACCTTTTTATATAAATACACACATTTAACACCAGATCCCAGCCCAGCCAAGTGCTCCCTCCCCCTGGTCCCATCCCAGCCTCCCCACACCCTCTTTGCCCCTGGAATAAACACAACCAGCACCTCCCCAAGGCTCCCTCTGCCAAAAACTCCGAGATTGAATCCCATGTGGAGCCACCCTGCCAGCAGTGACCCATTCCCCGTGGGAATACTGCTTTTCCAGCAAGTTTTTATTTTACTTTACGAGCTCTTTGCTCAGCCAGCCGGAGATGGGGAGGGATAAATCTGTTCCACTCTCCGAAAGAACAGCTGCCCAACAGCTCTTATTGATACACCAGCAACTGCTGGAGCGCCAGATTTAATGCTGCTGGGCTCTGGGAAGTGCCAGCAGGAGCTCTGGGAGCTCTGGATGAAGGATTAGCTGGGAGGGAGAAGTTGGTGCAGTGAGTAAAATACTCTGTTATTGGCAGCAGAGGAAATGGGAGCGGACAAGGTGCTGCGGTGCCTTCGTGTCATTAATAATTTCCTCCTCTGAGCTGCTGAAAGGCAGAAGGACAGGCAGCTAAAGGCACCTGCATTGATTTATTCTGAATAAATCCTGGCTCCCAGCGGTTTTGGAGGGTTCCTGGAGGAAGGAGCTGCTCTAAAGCAATGGGTTTTATGAGTCCAGGATGCCAAAAAAAAAAAAAAACCAAAAAAAAAAAACCAACAACAACAAAAAAAAAGGATGATGGCCAAGTGGAACAGGAATTGGTTTTCTGAGAGAATTAAGCAATAAGATGGTCAGAACAGTTCCTGCAGCTGGGATTTGGGTTTTATAGGGAAAAACCCCTCTCTGATAGGTGTGGGTTGTTATTAAAAGGGTTTTTACAGAACACCCCAGCACTCCCAGGGTGCCATTTGGGAGCACTTTTGCTCCCATTTGGGACTGTTATGTCCCTTTTTGGGAATTCTTTGGGAACACCTTTGCTATCATTTGAGATCTATTTTGTTGACATTTTGGGAACACTGTGTCCTTTTTTGGGAACCCTTTGGGTCCCATTTTGGGAGTTCTGTGTCCCTTTTTGGGAGTTCTGTGTCCCTTTTTGGGAGTTCTGTGTCCCTTTTTGGGGACCATTTGGGTGCCTTTTTGGGAACACTTTTGCTGCCATTTGGGACTGAGCTCTGGGGAAGAAATGAAGATGCCTTTTAAACAAACTTGCTAAAACTTTGCTTTGAGGCATCTCAGCCACCCTGAATTCCCTCAGCTTCTATCGAGGTCTTTTTCCCCTCTCACATCCCATCTCCCTGCTCCCATTCCTGATTATTCCAGGAGGGAAAATCCTGTGCAGGGTGTGTATGTGTGAGGAATTGCCTGCCAGGGCAACCTCAATAACTCTGCAATAACGCTGGCAGCCAGATTTAATATCCTCAGAGATGTTAGCACTGCGTTAGGTATTCATTCCTTCTTTTTTTTCTTATTTTTTAAATGAAATATTTTGTGTAGTACAGATCGCTGCCTTGAATTGGGAGAGCCTGCAGAGGTTGGCAGCCCCAGGAATATTTGGGCAGGAATATTTGATAGGAATATTTGGCAGGAATGTTTGGCAAGAATATTTGAGGAGGAATATTTGGCAGGAATATTTGGCAAGAATATTTGGGAGGAATATTTTGCAGCAGTATTTCGGAGGAATATTTTGCAGCAATATTTGGGAGAAATATTTTGGCAGAAATATTTGGGCAGGAATATTTGGGAGGAATATTTGGCAGGAATATTTGGCAAGAATATTTGGGAGGAATATTTTGCAGCAGTATTTCGGAGGAATATTTTGCAGCAATATTTGGGAGAAATATTTTGGCAGAAATATTTGGGCAGGAATATTTGGGAGGAATATTTGGCAGGAATATTTGCAGGAATATTTGGCAGGAATATTTGGCAAGAATATTTGGGAGGAATATTTTGCAGCAGTATTTCGGAGGAATATTTTGCAGCAATATTTGGGAGAAATATTTTGGCAGAAATATTTGGGCAGGAATATTTGGGAGGAATATTTGGCAGGAATGTTTGGCAGGAATATTTGGCTGGAATATTTGGCAGGAATATTTCAGCAAGAATATTTGGCAGGAATATTTGGCAAGAATATTTGGGAGGAATATTTTGCAGCAGTATTTCGGAGGAATATTTTGCAGCAATATTTGGGAGAAATATTTTGGCAGAAATATTTGGGGAGGAATATTTGGCAGGAATATTTCTGTACCAGGGAAAGGATTCCCACCCTGTGCAATATCTCCAACAAAACATAAATTTTTTTCCTTCCCAATCACCTTCCTTCTCAGCCCCACCGCTCCTATTCTGAGATCAAACCACCACAAAAACCCCAGGAATTGGGAAAAACACCTTTCTGCTTTCACCCAGAGCAGCTGGCAGTCGAGTTATCTTTTACACCAGCGTAAGCAGGAGAGGTGTTTGCATAATTGCACGGAAAAGTGGAAGGAACCTGCCGGTTTGGGGAGCTGTGTCTGGCAAATTGAGGCTCTTTCAGCGTTTTTGGAAGCTGTGGAGAGGGGAAAGCAGCAGGAGCAGAGCCAGGAATCAGAGGGGAAGGAGAACACAGAGAATAAAAAGCAGTTTATCATGGGAGAACAGTCTCCTTGAGGAGGAGTGACCCTTCTATCCATTACTCAGGAAATTCGTGCTGTAAAATCACCTGGAAAAACTTGCATAAATCAAAGAGCTGGAAATAATGTGAACCTGGATTTTTTTTGTCTATTAGTGGACATACTTGTGAAAAAAAATAAATAAATTAAAAAAAAAAACATACATCCAAACCTGAGATATTGATAGAAATGCCAAAAAAATGGAGGCCAAAACACAACCAAAGCTCAGCTCACTTTMCTTTCTTGCTGGTGAGCCCAGCTCAAATTGTGCTTCCAATGATTCCCACCTTTTTATTTCCCACGCTTCCCTCCCCTGTTTAAAATAAGAAAAAAAGTTATTGGGACAGAAAATGAGGTTTTCAGGCCCTGAGCTGCTTTGGGGATGGGGAGTGACACAATTCTGGGGACAATTTGGTGTGCTCAGGGTTGATCTGGTGTTTTCCTTGGAAATCTCGGATCCAGGCACACTTGGAGGGAAAAAAACCCTCTGTCCACATTTCCCAGGGGTGGAAAAGGAGCAGCCAGGACCCCTGCACCTGCAGGAACCACCCTCAGAGGGTCACTTTGTGTGGGAAGCAGCAAACAAGGGAAAGGGGAGGCTGGGAGGGGTCAGTGGGAGCAGCAGGAGCTCTGTGGGGTCCCCATGGTGTCCCTGTGAGCTGTGGGACAGAGGCGCTGGTGCTGGAGGAGCAGCAGCGATAAATCATCTTGAAAAAACTTAAAATTTGTGAGGAAGAGCAAGCAGCTGCGGGGAAGCTGCGGGTGGGGGCTCCTTTGGGGAGGGAGGACGCGGTCGGAGCCGGCGTTTGTTGCGGCTCCATCTCCATCTCTCCATCTCCATCTCTCATTTGAGCACTGCCAGTGACCGTCTGTGTCCTCTCCTCATCCTCCCCGCAGCGGCATCCGGYGACAGYGACAGYGACAGCGACTCGGAGCTGAGCTCCTGCAGCCTGGAGGATGTGCCCGGCCCCGGGGGATGGCGGAGCTCCCCGCGGGGACAGCTCCGGGCAGCGGCGGGTGAGGAGGAGYTGCTGCTGCTGCTSYKCTGSTGGTGTCTGCAGGGTGGGGAGTGAGAGAGCTGCAGTGTTGGGTTCATAGTTTGGGGTTCTAGGCGCTGGGATGGTGCTGCTCCTTGGGGACCCAGCCATACATCCACACTCTGGCCCTACACCTGCAACCACAACCCTACACCTGCACCCTCAACCCTACACCCCCACCCCAACCCTGCACCTGCACCCCCAACCCTACACCTGCACTCCAGCCCTAAACCCACACCACAACCCCACACCTGCAATCGCAACCCTACACCCTCATCCCAACCCTAAACCCTGGCCCCAGCCCTACACCTGCACCCCTGCCCTACATCTTCACCCCAACCCTACATCTGCACCCCCAGTCCTACACCTTCACCCCTGCCCTACACCCACACTCCGGCCCTACACCTGGAACTGCAGCGCTACACCCACACCCCTGCCCTACAGCCACCCCCTGGCCCTACACCTGCACCCCCAACTCTACATCCTCATCCCAACCCTACACCCGCACCCCTGTCCTACACCTTCACCCCTGCCCTACACCCACACCCCTGCCCTACACCTGCAACCCCAACCCTACACCTTCACCCCAGCCCTACACCCGCACCCCTGCCCTACACCTGCAACCCCAACCCTACACCTTCACCCCAGCCCTACACCCGCACCCCTGCCCTACACCTGCAACCTCAACCCTACACCTTCACTCCAGCCCTACACCTGCACCACAGCCCTAAACCTGCACCACAACCCTACATCCTCACCCCAACCTTACACTGCAGCCCTGTCCATCCCTCAGCCCCATCTCTGTCTGTCCCTGCAGCACCCACYGGGGCACCCAGCCGGACCCTGGGGCTCCCCCCGTGCCCCCCAATCCCAGGGAGCCCCAGCAGCCCGGGCAGCGAGCGGGGGATTGAGCTCAGCCCCCCGGACAGCACTGACCAACCCTCGGACCGGCGCGGTGGCCACGCCCCGGGTGAGTGCAACCCCTCTCCAGGCATGTTTTTGGGGCTGGATTCCCTGGAAGCACCAAGTTTTGGGTTTGGGTCTGGGGTGGCTTTTCCCCACTCCTTTTTTGGGCTCTTTGAGCACCCTGAGCCCGGCTCTGTGCCCCTGCAGGGGYCTGGAGCTCCTCTCTGTCCTGCAGGGCCAGCAGAACACATTGAACTTCTCCTAAAACAAGGAAATCCTGCAGCTCTGTGAGGCTGAATCGCATTTTTCCTGAACTAAGGTGGCTCTTCAAGCCAAGCACGGCTCTTCCCACAACTCTGCAGTGCAGGAAAAAGACTTTTTCCCCCTCAAAAACCCCATGATGAGTGACAGGAAAGCAGAGAGATGCAAATGCCAGGAGGAGCTTCAATCTTTGGGGAGTTGGCTTTGGTTTTTCTGTAGCTGATGAGAAAGTTGCTTCAATATTTTCAGTTTSTGTAAGAGAAAAGAAAACCCCTGCTCCGCCTCCCTAAATGTTCTGGTTTCATTTAGGGCACAGATTGGGATGGACAGAGGGATCAGACATGACCCCACCCACCCAAACCCCTTCCCTGGCTGCCTCATCGAATTTTGGGTGCTTCTCTTTTATCCCTGCTTTCCTCAGAGCTCGCTGGGTTTGAGTTTTCCTGCTGCTGGGGAGGATAAATCGTCTGTCTTGCCCAAAATGAAAAAAATTGAATTGTGCCTTCGTGGCTGAGGAGCTTTGAGCTGCCTCTGCCTCCTCATATCCACAGTAGTCCCACCATACTTACAAATAAATAAATAAATTAAATATATATAAAAATCTATTTTTATATATACACTTATATATAATATATATATAGAAATACATATATATACATATATAAATATATGTTTTATACATAAATAAATATTGATATTATGCATAAATATAAACATTTGACTATTTATTATATATATACTATATAATAATTATTGTTTATTTTATATAATATATAATTAAAATATTATATACGGTATATAGATATTATAAATAGATAATAACATATAAATATTTATATTTAAATACATTATAAAAACATTTATTTATTTTAAAAATATCACTTTTATTTATACATTTATTTTTCAATGCTCTGCGTAGCRGCAGCACCAGGAAATGAGATTTAGGGTTTGCATTCCAGATACAATGTACATTTGTAAACACAAATCTCAGGAGGAGCCCGTGCCCCCTTCCACGCTCCAGGGAATTAAAATATTTTCACCCTCAAGTGGGAGAACCAGGACGTTTTCCCATCTCTTTCAAGCTTGCCTTGGAGTTAAGCGAATAAAAGCTCGAGCAACTAAAAAATAAATTACTTTTGCTGTTCCCATAATTYTTTATGGGGTTTTAAATTGAAGGCTCCTTCTTTCAGAATAGAGGGATGACAAAGATTCATTCTCTGGGCTCTTTCACTCCGTATATCAGGCAGCCYGGCTGCTGCTGAAGATGAAACTCCYGTTTTTGTGCCTTTTTTTGATGCTCCCGAGGTCTGGGCTCTGCTCTTTGATCGAGCAGCCTGTCACCTCCTGTGAATTCTCCTGTGAATTCTCCTGTGCCCTCTGTCATGGGTTTGCTCCTCACGCTCCCCACTTTATGTCCAGCATCTTGCACAAAGCCAGAGTTGATGTCATCCTTGCCAAAAAAGCCAAAAGGGGAGWGSAGGGGARGGCGGTGAGAKGGGAGCRAAAAGSCTGGATTTTGGAGGCTGAGACAGAGGGGGAAGAACCTGGATTTTGGAGTCTCAGATGGAGGTGAAAAAAAATGGATTTTGGAGTCTCAGATAGAGGTGAAAAGGTTGGATTTTAGAGTCTGAGATAGGGAAGAAACTGGATTTTGGAGTCTCAGATAGAGAGGGAAGAACCTGGATTTTGGAGTCTGAGATAGAGGAGAAAAGCCTGGATTTTGTAATCTCAGATAGAGGTGAAAGCCTGGATTTTGGAGGCTGAGATAGAGACAGAAGAACCTGGATTTTGGAATCTCAGATAGAAGAGAAAAGCCTGGATTTTGGAGGCTGAGATGGAGACAGAAGAACCTGGATTTTGGAGTCTCAGATAGAGGTGAAAAGGTTGGATTTTAGAGTCTCAGATAGAGAGGGAAGAACCTGGATTTTGGAGTCTGAGATAGAGGTGAAAAGCCTGGATTTGGGAGTCTGAGATAGAGGTGAAAAGCCTGGATTTTTTAGTCTCAGAGAGAGGGGGGAGAATCTGGATTTTGGAGTCTCAGATAGAGGTGAAAAACCAGGATTTTGGAGTCTTTGTAAACACACTGAGAGGTTTGATAGCTCAGGAGGTTCTCTCCTAATGGGGATGTCAGGCAGCTGCTGGGAGGAATTCACCTTTTGGGATTCCTCATGCCTTGAGCTGTCCACAGGGAATTCTGTGAGCCCCCTGTCCCTTCTCCAAGAGGAGATGCCTTGTGTCCCAGCAGAGCCAGGGGTGCTGAACAGACCATTTTTTTGTCAAGAAGAGACCAAATCTCTTCCCCATACTGTAGGACCARTTCTGGCAGCACAATTCCTTATTTCTCCCTCTCTCCACTTTTCCTTCCCCTGGCTTTCCTTTCTTTAATCAAGCCTAATGGGCCCTGACTGCTGGACTAATGATGCAGAGATGTTCTCTTTATTATTTTTAGGAAGCTCTTAAAACGGCCCTGGGCGTGCAGGAGCTGTGTGAAATCACTTTATCAGTCTCTCCCCTTCACTGCTTTGCAAACAAAATTTCTGTCTTTATTTATTTTGAAGGCAAACAGCGGATCCACACCAGAACTCGGCTCTGATGGAGGTGAGGATGGAGATGAGGTGAGGATGGAGATGGAGATGAGGTGAGATGGAGATGGAGGTGAGAAGGAGATGGAGATGGGGTGAGGATGGAGATGAGGTGAGGTTGGAGATGGGGTGAGGATGGAGATGGGGTGAGAATGGAGATGGAGATGGAGATGAGGTGAGATGGAGATGGAGATGATGGAGATGGAGATGGAGATGGAGATGAGGTGAGGATGGAGATGAGGTGAGAATGGAGATGGAGATGGAGATGGAGATGAGGTGAGCATGGAGATGGAGATGGAGGTGAGGATGGAGATGGAGTGAGGATGGAGATAAGGTGAGAATGGAGATGAGGTGAGGATGGAGATGGAGGTGAGGATAGAGATGGAGATGAGAATGGAGATGGGGTGAGGATGGAGATGGAGGTGTGGATGGAGGTGAGGATGGAGATGGAGGTGAGGTTGGAGCTGCTCTGCCTGGATCCAGCACTTTTCTGTTCCTCAGACTTCACTCCAGATGGGAACTGCTGCCGGCGGTGACTTTGGGATGTCAGCTGCTCCCCTGGCACTGGCAGCACGGGGACACCTGGGGACACTGCTGCCCATCCTCTGTGAGCCCAGCAGAGCAGCTGGGGCTGGAATTGTGCCTGGCCCCCACGGGGAGGGGGGTCAGTCCTCGTGTTTCTGGTCGGGGTCACTCCTCGTGTTTCTGGTCATTGTGCCAGTTGGGATGGGCTTGGTGGGGCCACCAGGAGCTGCTGGTGGAGCTGTGCTCCCATTCCCACCCCCTATCTCTGCTCAGGATAAAGAAAAACTCCAAGGAATTTTCTGTGGGKTTTTTTTCACCCCTCCTGGCTGTGCCCTGGCTGGTGTGAGGGTGTGGGTTCAGGGAAGATGTGTGTTTGCTGCAGCTCCTGATGGGATCACACCCCCACCCCCAGCCCAGCTGGCTCCCCGTGAGCTCCCAAATTGGATAAAATCTCCCAAATGAGTTTATCTTGTAAATCCCTGCAGATTCCCCTCCCACGTGCYCACCTCACACCARCAAGGGCCTTTTWTTTGCCTTTTTCCTGTAAGTCCCGMGCATCTGCCTGGCTGTGACGGTGTCATCGTGAGTCAGGCTGTTGAAAACCGCCTGTCCCACTCCTGCTTATTCTCCAGGAYGGACAATTTCCCTCTAAGGCCTGGCAGACGAGAAAAAAAATCAAATTACCTCACGTCTGGAGAGCAATTAGATCTTGGAAGACCTGAACAAAACTCACAGTGGGCTGGTAGCAGTCTGTGGATTTTATTAAATGCTTCGGATCTGATCTGCCTTTTATGAAGAAACAAAGGATTCTGAAAAGCTCCCCTCTGAAATCATAAAGTTAAAGGCGATTTGTGCCCATTAATGTTAGCCCTTTCCCTGGGTTATCACTCTTTTTGTTCTGTTTTCCGACGAAAATAAAGGATCAGGAATCAACCCTTGGCTTCCCCTCTGAACGAGCAGAGTCCCTCAGAGGAGCATTCCCTCGCTGCTCCCCCAGTCCATGCTGCTGGGAAAACACTTCCAAACCTTTCCTCTGTCATCTGTTCCTGCCCTTTTGCAAATTAAAACCAAACCTGTGGGCCCACGCGGGCTCTCAGAGACGGTGGAAAATGAAATCGTTGAGTGTGGGGTCTACAACAAAAATGTTGGATGGGGTTGTTCTCCACTGAAAGATGTTTTGTGGCACAATTTTGTGTTGTTAACCTGGCTGTTAAAGCTCGACCAGCTSTGGGAAGGGGCAATGCCAAAATTATTCGCTGTGACTGAAAAAAGCAACTCCAGCCGTCAGCTTTTGCAGAAACACTGGTGTAATTTCAGAGCTGCTTCTCCTGAGGGCTGCAGGACTTTCAGTTTCCGAGGTTTTTTTGCCACCAGAAAGAAGTTCTGCTGTGCCTTGAAGCTGCTGACAGTCYGAGTGAGGCTCGTCTGGCTCATCGCTGCAGTGCCTCAGACAGCCTGAGTTAATTCAGCAGCCGAAGGAGAGGGAAAAAGACTTTTAGGAATTGACTCTATTTCCTTTAAACCTGTTACTGTCTCATCACTGGCTCTAGGCTGAGCTGGAGAGAGCTTTTAAAACCAAGAGTGTCATTTCTGGCTCTCCTTGAGCTGCTTCTCCTCAGGTCAGTCGTGTTTTTGTTCCCACTCTCCCTTCCCACAACATTTTCCACACCGTGGGGTGCTCAGGAGCCTGGGAATCATTGCTGTGCCACTGTGAGGCATCAGCTTGATGTTTAACTCAAGCCAGCTTTCATAAAACACTCTCAGAGATAARTGTGAGACTGCTCTGGCACCAGTGAGACTGGAATATTTTCATTCTTACCTCTGTRTTTTCACTCCATGGGGTAATTCCACCTGATTCGAGCCAGAATTGTTCAGTCAGCTGTGGAAAGGTTGGGTTGAGGGAAGGATCTGGTCCTGGACAATGTGAATGGGGCAGAGGAACACCTGCACTGTTTTATTTTGAAGACCCTTTGTGGCGATTCTCTCAGTCGTGTTTTGCAGCTTTTGTTGGAAAAAAACCCCAAATCTGTCCCTGTCTTTTGAGCTGGCTCAAGGTGGGCAGGAAGGGCTCAGTCGATGTGCCCAGCCTGCTCTGGTCATTTGTGTCCATGATTTTGTTGTTCTCATCTCCATCCCTCACAACTTCCACGTGCTGTCCCTCTACTGCAGACAATAAAGCTTTTGCTCAACTTCTCACCTTTCTCCAAACAGTAAAAAAGTTGTTTTAAAAAAAAAAACAGATCCTCTCCAGCTCCTTGGCTCCAGCGAGGCAAGACAATAACTCAGCCGGTGGAATTGTGATTCATGGGGCTGGAGTTTAATTGAATTCTGCACTCTAAACTCATCTTTTGTCTTGTGCCCTCCTCGGTGCCTGGCAAGGTTCTCCACACCGCAGCCACCRCTCCAGAAGCAGCACCGATTGTCCTTTTGTCGAGTGCTGTCCCCACGCCCTCCCGAGGCTCTCAGAGCTCCATTGAAGTTTCCTCCGTGTCTCCTCATTGTTTGCCGGCCCTGGCTGCCGCCGTTCCCTCCCCTCAGCATTCAGCCTCAAGGTTCCAAGCAGCTTTTTTAATCTGTTTTTGCTTTCCCCGCCTGGGTAATTGCTGCTGGGATTGTTCTGCCGAGGAGGAGCTGCCGTTCCCCCAAGGATGGGGTGTCAAGGACCGAGCAGCTCTGGTGMGGTTCCTGCCCCTCTCCTCTCGCCATGACAACGAGCACCTCACGGGAAAAGCGGGATYTCTCCCAGTCACAAACACCGGCTGTGCGCTGCCCAGTTCCCGTTTTTGGTTTTTGCRGGTGTTTTTTGGAAGGGGAGGGCGGTGCTTCCTCTGTGAGAGGCGTCTGGTGGTCAGTGCAGCCAAACCAAATGGGGTCCCAATGGTGCTGATTCAGGAGGGTCAGGAGTGCCTGGGCAGTGGTACAAATGGGCAAAAACCCTCTGGAGTTCGTGTGTGAAACGAATTTGTTCCCTTCCCCGAATTTGTTTCCTTCAAGGGCAGAGGGCTGGAGGTAGCAGGGTCTAACCAGCCCCCTCTCCCTCTCCTTCCTCCATCACTTCATCCCTCTCCCCAGGACGTTCTGCAGCTCAGTGTGACGGGCAGGGAGTTCAGGGGAGGTTTTGGGAGTGTTTGAGCAGCGCAGGGTGGCAGTGACGGGTGRAAAACCTCGTGGAAAACTTTCACCMTGAGCTGCTCGCTCAGATCCCTCCCTGAGCTTTTCCTCTGTCCAGGAATTACAAGATTTGCAGTGAGATGCAGAGATGAGGATCCTGCCTTCATCCCGTGACACAATGCCAGGTGTCACCTCCCCCCAGGTCACTCTGGAGCCGACCCAACGCAGCAAACAGRTGCYGCCAGCTCCYTCCTCATCACTGCTCCACCATCCTMATCAYTRGAAAYTCYCATTACCACGCTGGTGACTGCTCCTAATCAGGGTTGTCTGGGACAGGAGTGCTGGCAGTGACACCTTCTCCCCCTGAGTGTGACTACTTTTGATTTCAGAGGTGACAAATCACCACAGCGCTGTGCCAGTTTTTAGTTTTTCGCAATTATACAAATTTCTGTTCCAGCTGTCCTGTCCCACCCCATGGSAGCAGCCCCTCGTGTGTGGGGGCTGCCCTGGCCTCGGGTTTTGGGGCTGATTTGGGAGCTGGGTGGAGAGATCACATCGCTGATACTGATCCTAAYAACCCTGCAGTGCATCCCCCCAGCTCAGCTGCCGGTGCTGGGTGTCTCTGAAGCTCTCACCTCCCCAAAAAAAAATCCCCAGAGTGATCCATCCCCGGGATGGGGACAGCAGCTGGATCACCGAGAGCAGCTGAGCCCAGCATTATTTATTTCTCATCTGGCGAAGCCAAGCCCAAGAACATCTCAGGGAACAGCTGAGCCCCAGAGAGGGAGAGCAGGGGCAGGAGGAGCAGCCGTGGAGCTGCCGACGGCCCCGACCTTCCTCTCCAAACGCCTCTCGTGMAAAATTGAACTCCTCCAAGCAATCGCACCGCAGCCGCTCGAACGGCGCCTCGGAGGACAGGAAAACAARCCGAGAAATGYAAATTAGGGCTGTAAATCTTCCTGKCTGCGTCTGGGAGGCACCTCTTTAATTAACACCGCTGAGCAGCCTTGATGCGGTGAGCGCTAAGGAGAAAACTCGCTCGATTTCCGCGGTTTTGAGGGTAAAAAATTTGTTTGAATTCCCACCTTGTGATCTTTCTCTGCACTTGCCAGAGGTGCTGTGCATAAAGAGCTGGCTYTTGTCACCCGGGCTGAGCCGGTGCCACCGCGCCAGGGAGGAGCTGTCCCGAGCCCGTTTGGGCCTGGGCACCTCGGCATGGGATTTATCCGTGCGAAAAATCAGATTATTCCCATGAGGGTGGGGTTAGGGAATTCCTGAGCCTTTGTTTCTCCCTCAGCCCAGCGCTAATTTGCACCGCAGGAATCTTTTAAACCCCGATAATGTTTGGRAATTGTCGGATGCTCSGCCTGGGAATCGGTGAGATTTCCCCGAGTCGGGTTTGCATCCCGCCCGTGTCCCCCTCAGGCAGGTTCTGATCCCTGTTCCCGACCCATTGGCACCACAGGAATCTTCTTAACGCCGATAATAGTTGGGAATTGTCGGATTCTCGGCCTGGGAATCGGTGAGATTTCCCCGAGTCGCGTTTCTCGACCCATCACCCTGGGAGATGGTGGCATTAGGATGATTGTGTGCTTGAAGAGGACAAACAACAATTATTCCACACTCAAAAAACACCTCTCGCTCTCATCTTTTCTCGTTCTGTCGGTTCCCCGCTCGAGTTTAATGGGATCGGCTCAGACAATTCCCGTCTTCGTGCAAAACATCCTTTTCCCTCCTGCGCTCTGCCAGCTGCACGGCGGGCGGGGAAAGGCGAACGCGCACTTTCTTCTGCGTGGTTGTGAATGAGTGCATCTGTTCCTCGAAGATGCGAAAAGGAGGGGGAAAGGACTGGAAAGGGAGGGAAGAAATCAGATTTAGCCCGGTGCGTTACCTCCGTGGAGAGGTGGAAGCGTGCAGGAGTCAGATTTTTGCAGCACGGGCTCAGTCCTGGAGTGTTTTTGAGGCGGATGAGACACCAGGGAGAGGCTGGAAAGGGGTTTTGCTTAATGGGGCAGCACGGCCACCCCTCAGTGGGGCAGAGATGCCCCAAGATCTTTGCCAGAGCTGTTCCCTATAAATCTGATGTTTCCAGCAAACTGCTGCTTTGAAGGGATTTTTGCCTTTCTGCGCTCCGTGGCTGCAGAGTCCGCGTTTCTGTGCGAAGAAATCAAGAATCGAGTAATTGAATCTCCCTCTCCCTTCCTAGGAAATCGAGTAATTGAATCGGAGACCACGTGATTTGAAAAGGCAGAGAAAGGAGTTCATTTTGGGTTCTCTTTATTGGCCTCTTAAATTCCGAGCTCTTCAGCCTGCTGGGAGCGTTTCATCGATCCCTTTTCACAGCTGCGAGCAGGATGGACTCAACTTCCCGTTTTCCTGGGACCCGGGAGGCAGCAGGAATTTGTGGGATTGGGAAAGGGGCGGGTGACYGGGGGTGACCCCAGGGGTGCTGCTYCTGACYGGGRCACWACGAGGAACACCCTGAGGAGGGAAAACTCCGCTGTTTGTGGCACCTGAGTGTCCTGGGTTTGTCCCCACCGGCAGGAGGTGGCCCATGACCGGTCACCCGGGAAGCTGTCGCAGCTTCATTGGCATGCAAATGGATGTAAATTCATGTGAACATCTGTCCCCGCGCAGGTAGCGGCTCGTGCCCGAATTATGCAAATGTTCTCTAATCCAATAACGCTAATGTCATGATTATCCAGCGGCGCGGGGTTCATTAACGTGGTTCCCTGGCTCTTACCCCCATCACTGTCAATACCAGCGCTCTGAGAGAGAGGACTCCAGCATCCCTGGCAGCTGGAGCCGCTCGGGGGAGGGAAGGGGACAGCCAGGGCGTGGTGGCAGCGGGAAGGATTTGTCACCTGCCGGGTGGGGTGCCACGTGTCCTGGTCAAGGTCCCAGCTGGCTGTCCCCCGGGAGAATTCCCCAGCTCCTGCAGAGCAGCCAAAGCAGCGTTTCCCGGTATCCGCGCTGCCATCGGATGAACAGGGCGAGCAGGGCCATCTAGTGACTCCTCCGGCTGCGAAATGACCTGGGAGCTGCCCCCTCCRCCGGCATCACTTTGATATTTGTATTTTTAGGAATGCCACCTCTCTCTCTCTCTGCCTCTCCCTTTTCCCAGCTGGTGGTTCCCCTTCGCTCCGAAGTTTTGTTTTCYCCGGTTCACCGCAGAGCTGGGAAAAGCTTGGGTTTCCCTCCAGGCAGTGAATAGGGTCTGAGAGGATCCTCAGCCCGGCCAGAAATGCTGCTCTCCGGGCAGGAATCAGCTGCTCTGGGCCGTGGCCTCAATTCCTTCCCCGCTGACCCGCAGGAGCTGCCGTGGGTTTGGCTTTGTGGTGCAGCCCTGTCTGGTTCGGGGAATCTGGGGTGGTTTGCCCCTCCAGCAGCCGGATCCCACAGGCAATCGATCCCACAGTGAATCTGGGAGGATCCTGAGCAAGACAAACCTATGAATCTGTGGGATCCCCTCTCCTCATCCCTCTCCTCACCCTTCCATCCGTGTTCCTTTTTGCAATGTTGGCATGACGCTGGGATTTGGTGAATTAGCCAGGAAAACAATGATTCCCTGGCAGCTCCCAGCTGACCTTCTGGATCCAGGGATGGGCAGGACATCTGTGAGGAAAGCAGCAGCCAGGACAGAGCTGCYCCAGAGCTGTGACAGGTTCAGGAAGGTTTGGGGTGGATTGCTTGTGACAGACGCCCTTAGCCTGACGTGGACRTGGGAGAGGAGCGGCTCTAACGCTCCCGTAACGCAGCCAAATTTCTCTTTGCTACTGCACACCCGAGATGTTGTTTTGTGAATCCCTGGAGCTGGCTCTACTGCTGGTTTTCGGTGCCCTTTCCCCTGTGCTTTGCATCCAGCCCCGAATTCCCGGAGCGCGGGGTGGGCGCGGTTTCCCCCCGGTATCTCCGGCTGCTTTCTGCCCTCACTCGGCTTCCCCTGCGCTAACTCCGGGAGCCGGCGCGACTCCCGAAATGCCTCTTCCCACCAAAAATGTGAGCAGAAAGTCYCTCCATTTCCATGGCAACGGGGCCGGGCCCTAAATGCCGACGGGAACTCTGTTCCTGGACATCCGCGGAGCGGGAAGAGCC